ATAACTTAAAGCCCAAATCTTAAAAATTTTTATAATGAAACTTCTATTATCTAACCTTAAAGAAGGAGAATGAGATTGATTTTGAAAATGGAGAAGCAGAGGATGATTATTAGCCATAGGATTTTTTGCCTTTTTAATAATCGTAATAATAATTGCTTTGGTTATAAATAAATCTTAAAATTTTTTATAAAGGACAAATATTATGAAAAAAAAGAAAATTTATTCATGCCAACACCAGCAAAATGCTCCTAATCCCTGTGTCGCTTGTCAGGCTGGCCGAGGGAAAAAATATTACAAAGAAAAAAAAGCCTTTTATTGTGCTAAATGTGGTCAATTAATTACCCAAGGGTGTCGGAGAAATGTCACTAAAAAAAGTAGCGAGAAATTTACGGAAGCATGAATTGAAGACCATAGTAATTGCCAACCTAATCCAGAAAAAGTCCGGCAAAATGAGCAATTAGAAAAAGAGGTTGAATATCAATGAGAAAAGTGAAAAACAACCACAATAACTACTCCGCCCGCAGAAAAGGATAAAGAGGCTAAAATTGATAGAGTGGCGACCAAGGAGGCTAAAAGCAGTAAATGAACTATCTTTGCTATTGGGCTAGTAATATTAGCCTTAATCAGTTTAGTTTATGTATGTGTTCCAAAGCAAAATAAAAAATAAGTATAATGAAAATTTTGGCGATTGGCGATATTTTTGGGCGAACAGGGCGAAAAATTATTAAAAATCACTTAGGAGAAATCAAAAAACAATATCAAATTGACTTAGTAATTGCCAATGTGGAAAATGCTACTCACGGCAAAGGTATGTCGGGAGAACATTACCAAAAATTAAAAACTTACGGTGTTGATATAATGACTTCGGGGAATCATATATTTCACCTCGCCGAAACCCAAAAAGATATTGACCAGTTTACCGATTTGCTTAGACCGCTTAATTCTAATCCTTTTCATCCCGGCAAAGGAACTATTTTGTACGAGTGAAAAAACAAAAAAATTCGGATTA